GGGGGGGGGGGGGGGGGGGGTTAAGCAAGAGATCATAGGTTAAGGGATGAGGGGAGGAGGGGCTATAAAAGAACCCGTTGGTATCTGGATAAGGGTAGGGGGCTATAGTAAGAGACAGTAGTCTTAAGTTATTCTAGTGGGTCCCTTATATGTATAATAGTTTTGACCACTTCCCTTATCAATTCTACTCGTTTCGATTAATATCTAGTATGCTCTATTTTATTCAAAACTGTCCAACACCCATCCCTCCCCCCGCCACCGCGTTTTTTTCGCGAAATAAATCAGCTCACCTGCGTGAAATGACCAGTCTTGGAGCCAAATTTAGGGTCGTTATAATCGTAATCTTCAATTTCACTGTACCTTTAATGTAGAAAAAGAAAAAAAAACAGATCACATATATCAGGGTTATGATAATTTTGCTTTGTAATTTCATTATGCCTTTATTGTAGAAAAAAAAGATTACATGCAGTGTTCTATATACAAGTCAACGCATTTTAAAATTAGTTGAGTATGCAAGACAGCTTATAACATACTCTAATTACTATAACAGTGTTATTATTTCAATGTTTAAAGCCAGGATACAATAGGTTTCACTAAAGTGTTGAAAGTCGCATTTGATTTGATGTGTCTTGAATCTTTTCGCTTCGCGATTGGCTCAAAAAAAAAAAGTCGCGACACTTTGTCAACCAGTCAGAAGTAAAACCAAAACCAAACGCACTCACTTTTCCCCGCTTCACCTCAGGTAGTTGTATTTGCTTGGAGTTTTGATTTGTTCACTGTAATGTCTCTGTCCTTTGTGACTGGCCAGAGTGGTTAATTTGGTTTTGGTTTTGCGATGCTCATGCAACTGAAAACCTCTCTAATGACTATAGATCTTCCTGGTGTCCTTGTCCACGATCACGTGATCAGTTTTAACACGCGACTGATTAAAACGTTGCAACCACATCGAAACATTTCATTTCTAAGAAATTGTTCCTTTGTGTCCACACGTTTTTATCATTTATTATGTTTCTGGAGCAGGAAGTTGATATTTTTAATAAATGGGTACTTAAGCTTTAGGAACCTTCAGTAACTTAGCGAACCGAAATAATGATAACGATTATTTAGACTTTGAAAGCACTCACCAAGAATCCACCGCCTCTGCGCATGAACGGATAGTTCCAGCTGAGGATGAGTACCAGGAAAGATTTTCTCCTTCACCTTTGAGGTTTGGGTCGTGTTCAAACTTATTGTCCCTTGCCAATTCATCAGCCCAGCGCTTTGCATTTTTAGCCAGTGTATCACTCCAGGTTAGCGGGTTCGTGTCCTGATGAAGGGCACGCTTGGCATTGTGGGCTGCAAGGCAGGCGTCCTCATCCACTTCGTGTTCAGAAAAAAAAAGAAAACAAATGCTCATCACAATCAGACTTCACGACTTAATTCAAATCAAATTACACCTTGTTTACCCACTTTTGACAGGACGACTCAATCTTAGGTCTCACTGTAATGCGAATGTTTGAAGAGAAGAGGGTCTGGATGGGGTTAACTGCAGACAAATGGCAAAAACTAAATAACTGACAACTGGCAAATAGTCGAGAATTTTGCTAGCATTTCTGGTCAGATTTACGAACAACTGACAAAAAACTTTAACTATTGTTATTCGTTCGAAATTCATTGAAAATAATTTTGGCAATCTTTGTTTAAATCTTAGTCTTGAACCGAACAACGAATCAGATGCAGACAAAAATGTGGTTATTTCACTAACACAAATCAATTCAAAACGAGGTCAAATGAACTCGATAACTGCGGCAAAGGAACTTTGAAGGGGAGGTTGGGGCGTTATGTTCGCGTTTCAAGTTTCAAGTACGAATTTTTAACAAAATTCACCCGTCAACTATGCTTTTAGCTGCTTTTAACCAAACCTTTTTCGCATAAATTCACGAATCCCGTACGTCTTTCAGTTTACGTGTCTTACACTAAATGTTGCCTTCGTCACGTGTCACACATAAACTCTTTGCATCCTCTTTGGACTATTTAAACAAAAGAGTGTTTCTGTCAAGGAACTATCGGGTGATAGTTGCCCGGTGGAAGTTTGATGTTCATCAAAACAAATATGCTAGTTTTAAGAGCATCAAATTTCCAAGGGGCAACTATCCGACCGATAGTTCCGAGACACTGAAATACTCTGTTAACCGTTTGAATACCAAACTTTCGCCAAAAGATACCGTTTTTAAGCGTTTAGTCAGGTTTTTTAGCTACCATGACGCTAAATAAGCCTAAGTTTTGCTAAAAAAGCTTTTTTTTACTAAAAGGAGAGATTTTTCGAGGATTAGGTACAAGATTGAGCAAAACTTCAAGTCCGGGCATGCGCATAAGCCAAAATTTGGATTTTTTTTTTTTTTCGCCATTAACCGTTCTCAATTTCGTTTGTTGGCCCTTTCCTTTCTGTTTTTCTCAGCCCTTTTACACTGGCTACCTTTTGCATTGTATGTTCTTTCTGGCTGCAGTGAAAAGTTGCATGTTAATTACGGGCAAAGCCTAGAAATGGACCTTGATCAATCATAGGCGTTGTGGACCATTTTACCACCGTTTTTGCACCAAAACTGATAACGTTGTTTTTCGATTTGCGACGTCGGAATGTCGTCGATATCTAGACCTGACCATTGTGCGGAAAGGGCTAGCCTAGCACTACTATCTGCTTATCAGGAATATCTGATGACATTTAAATTGATGACGTCACAAGTGGTTCAAAGAGCACGACCATTAATTACGCACATAATATTTGAATACCAACTACGCATATATGCGTAGTTGGTATTCAAAGGGTTAACTAAAAATGTATGAAATCCTTCATCGAGCCAAATTTTGCTCGTTAGAGACTAAGAATGGTCAATTGGACCGATCTATGGCGAAAAAGTTCACCACCAAATTTTCTTCCGTGCGCCAGTTCAAAATTCATATTGAATTATTTTCAACTCTTTTAGATCAAAGCCGTGAAAGCCAAATGTAAAATTTGAAAAAGAAAACAGACAAAAACCCACCTACAATTTCAATTGTTTATCTCCTACAAACCCGCTTGTTTACTGAAAATTTTTCACGGACGAGTACTATTCATCCGGGTATTTTCCACGGACGAGCACTATGGTCTGATAGTAGGGACCTTTAGATCTGACTACGTGTACGAGATTGAGTACGACTACGATTTTCGAATTTCACACCAGTGACATTTACTGAGCCCTAGCTCTTCCTGTTGGTTTTAGGTAGAGAGGGTAGCTCATGGGATGAGATGGGTATGTGAAGTGATAATGTGAAGCCTGCAAAGTAGAATTGAAAAGTCATTCTCGTACTCGATCTCGAACTCGTACTCAAATCTAAAGTCCCCTAGTGTCTCTCTGCGGACGAGCACTATCTTACCACGTGATCAATTTAAACCAATAAGAATCGGAGAAAATTTAGTGGTGAACTATAAGAACTAATAGGTCCTTTACTGTGTCGAAACTGAGAGATTAGGGTTTGATTTCGATCAAAAAAAATATTCACTTTTATTTCCATGATTGGCGAAGCCGAGAGTTTTAGCAAAAACAACCTTCAACAGATATTCATTTTAATATTACTTCTTCTCCAGAAGTTACACCCTTAAAGTTACTCGTACTCAGGAAGCCCGCGACCCAGGTAACGCGGTGTCATATAAATATCTATATATATATATGCTATTTGGCAGCTGGAAGGTCCGTATAGTGAAAAACTGTGACCTCGGTCTTGAAAATGCTGCTCGAGGCCGTGGCCCGAGGGCAGCATTTTCAAGACCGAGGTCACAGTTTTTCACTATACGGACCGACTCTAAACCGCAAAATAACATGTTTATCTTTTTTTCTAGCTGTAAATTGGCTTACAAGTGGGTTTGTTTACGCAACTTTGTCATTGAATTGGGCCGGCGGAGCTTGCGCGCCCCCTACAAACCATTCGTAAGAAAATCTAACAAGCAAACGAGCGAGTAACTCGATATTAGACAACAAAAGATGAATTAAAGAACAAATTTATTGCGAACTACTTTATGTTAGTTGCATTTAGTTCACCAGTTAAGTTCTCCAAAAGTGTTTAACCGGTGTGAAATTTCGTGCAAAGTTTGAAGTTATGCTACAAAAACAATTTCTGTCCGTCGTTGCGAATCACTCGAAAAGCTCAAAATCGACTTTTCTACCGTAAATTGAGTAGCAGATAGCGAGGAAATTAGTTAGGTGTATTCCACAGAAATTCTCTCAAATACAGCAATGATCAGAGAGGTAAACTCGACTGAAATTGACTCATTTTTAACTTAAAATTGTACAGAGAGAGACGCACAGGATTACGCGCCATTACAGCGCCGAGCACGTTTCTGTCTTAGAGACGGATCATTAGAAAAGTGCTGAGAGGGGGGAGGGGGTGGGACTTTTTCAGCTTGCGGGAATTTTTTTTTACGTCCGCTGCCCCTGCAGGATTTTTTTTGGGTGGGATCAGGTCCCCTGCACGATTTTTTTTTTTTGGGGGGGGGGGG